CTTCTAGAAGGACTACAGCTAAGCTTCCAGAACTCACTAAGACTCCTACGCTATAGACCTACAGATCGAACCCCTGCTGTCTATGGACCTACTACAGGTCTACCAACTGCCTACGAATACACAGGTCACAGGTTCAATTCTCGGGGTCTACACAGATACTGTACATGGGTAGGGTGAGGTCTAGGGATCGAACCCTGGGTACTGCATCCGCTATTGCTAAAAGGTGAAAACCGTTTCAGAAGCTCACCCGAATGGGTGTATCCAGGGTGTCGAGAGAGAGAGAGAGAGAGAGAGAGAGAGAGAGAGAGAGAGAGAGAGAGAGAGAGAGAGAGAGAGAGAGAGAGAGACAAGTCAGAGAGAGAAGCAAGACTAGCAGACAGAGAGAGAGGGAGAGAGAGAAGCCATAGCTGCTGTCTGGTTGAGATTCGTTGTGTGTGTGCTTGTGTGTGTGTGTGTGCGGCAGGGCCGCCGAAGACGAACACCTCTTGTATATTGATAATAATTTTGGAGACGACATCTTCATGTGTGTATTGTGTCTCAGTTTGGGCTTCTCACGTGTGAACTCCCATGTGAATGTTCATTGATTTTGCAAGGTGGAACTTGACAAGTACTTGGTTCATTTCATTGAACGATATCAACGGTGAACCACAATTCCACCTTAATCATGTCTGATCACACTCTCCTTTCTTCTTATATATAAGCCAGCAGCGCAAACGAATCTATTTTAAAGCACCAAAAAGAACAGCCTGCCCAGGCCTGTCCACCCTAAAACGTCACTCCTGCCAGGTCACGTGGACTTTGATGGAAATATGCATTCGGTTTGACATGAGAATGTTTTTTGTGTGCAAACAAATCTATTTTAAAGAACCACAAAAAAAAGCCTGCCCGTGCCTGGCCACCCTAAACAGTCACTCCCACCAGGTCACATGGACTTCGATGGAAATATGCATTCGTTTTGACAAACGAATGTTTTGTAGGTGAATTTGGTGAAATCACTGAATGAGTGAAATGATTTTTGTTTCTGTTTTAATTCGTTCTCCCTGATGCAGTGGAACCCAATCTACATCCCTGAATAAATTTTTTTTTTTTTTGGTGCTGGAAATCAGAATTGAAAATCGATGTGGGGTCATGGGTGTTGCGCTAGTGCAGTGGGTTAACGCCGAACACCAGAGCACTCAGCACATCCACTCGCAGCATCCTACCGGGCTCACCGTCTGGGGCATTATTGATCTCCAAATTCTGACAAAAGCTGTCCAGTGAGGTAAGGCTGTTGGATTTTCATCTGGAGGTGCGCCTCTCACCCATCTTCTTCTACCTTTCCTCGGGCTGTGGAGTCAAATCTGATGCTGTCTCTTGCTAGATTGGACCAGGCTACATTCTGTTCAGTTAGCAATATCATAATCAACTTTACCAGAAGAGCTTTTGTTTCTTGTTTCGGCTCGAGGGTTTCTAATCTCCCAGCAGATGGCCTCCTCGTAATATAGTGCCATCACTCCCATGATTGTTTTGGTATGTATAACTCCTTGTTAGGGTCACCAGCCCACTGTAAGTATGCTCTCGCTTTCCTGTTCAGTTCTGCAATGGAGTGATCTGGAACCATCAAGATGGATAAATGTGTTAATCGATGACGCTCATCCAAGCAGGGCTGTCAAGGGCTGACTGCGGTTGCCCCTTCTCTCGATGGTTATTTTCATTTCCGGAGCCCATCTGAATGCTCCCATTACCCTGGTCAACGCTTTGATTAACAAGTCAGAAGATCAAGTCAGTCAGGTCGTTGGCGAACATGATTATTTTAGGGAATGTCAGCTGGTGAGGAGCACCCGAATTTAAGTTCAGGGATATTTTTTTGAATCAACGCATCTTTTGTGTAGGCTATTGCTTCCATGACAAAGAGGAGAACTTGTGGGGCTAGAGGATCTCCTTGTCTGAAAGAACTTGAAATGGGGTAGCATTGTGGAAGAAGGTCATTGACCTGCACACAGCCTGACGTGTCATTATATAGTACTTCCACCGACTTCCCAAAGCTAGGCCCGACTACCATTACGTTCAGAAACGCCCAATTTACTTGGTCATATGCTTTCTCGAAGTTGAACCATAGGATGGCAGTTTTCAGCTTCTTCTCTATAGCTTTTCTGGAGGCTTCATTTCATTACAACAAACTGTCTACCATATACCTCCCCTGGGATGAACCCCGCTTGGTCAATATGAAAGCATGTATCCCTAAGATTTGAGAATTCAGATGATAATGCAAGGAACATGAGTATGGACGAAGCACAGAAATCCAGAATGCAAAATCACACTGCAGTCCAAGTAGTCAAGGCCAGAGCAGAGAGCACAATGGAACCGAGTAACCATCCAATTGAGAATGATACAGAAGGATCGTGAGTCAATGTCCAAGCCCAACAGGGCAACACCAACARCATAACCCAATGTAGCTCTCTCTTGTGAATGGCGCCAGGCGCCCTATCTACTCTACAGACTACGCCTACAACTACAGCAATGAAAGCAACCAGACAACTTGACTACCAGCGAGTGATGATGTCAACACCAATGCCGACCTCCACCTCCACCAGGTACGTGTCCTCTTCACCCACACTCTCCCTTGTTACCCACACAGCGCCCTTCACCTTCGAAGAACCACCTTCGCCCTCACCTCTTCTGCGCACACAGGCAGCCCGGCTATGGCCGCCAGTGCCTTGCGCCCACAGGCAGCGCCCTACCGCCTAGCGCATGCCTGTCTCTCACCTCCGCCTAGCGCAGGCCAGCAGCGCAGCTGCTCGCATTCGCGCAGCGTGCCGGCAATGACCGCATTGGCCAAAGATGCCTGCCCACTCGCCCTGCTTGCCTATATGCCAGTGCTGCGTGTGGGCGGCCTCCCTTCAGCCTGCGACTGGGCCCCAGTGGCTGAACCCAGCCCGATACAGTTGAGGCCCGGGGCAATGCAGTTGCGCCTCTTTCAWCAAGGCCTGTGGCCAG